TAAAACGCGGCTATTATGGAGCTGACTTAACTACAAGGAGACCAGCTGAGGACCGTCACGCGAGGAGATGGGGGGCGGTCCAGGCTTGAGAGCGGCGGGCGGGACCGCCTCAGAAGAAGCAGGAGCTTCGAGAGCGTTCAACCGCTGCTGAACCTCCAGCAGCGCGGCAGACATGTTTTGGAGCGACCGATCCTCGGTCGATTCGGGACGAAGATCGTCGTCAATGCCGGCAGCAGATTGCCAGTCATGTTCCAAAGTATCCGTAGCATTCTCGTCCAGCATGCGAGCTGCGAGTCGAGTATTGTATCCGGACATCTACGCGACGTAAGCGTAGGAAGAAGCAGAAGAACAGTGGAGAAAGGGAGGGGAAGAGAGAAGACTCGATCTCTATCACCGATCACAACCTTGCTACCAATTTATGTCACACCTCGAAGATTCTCGAGTGGACCTTCAGCGCAGTTCAATAAGAACTCACGTTGGATTTCTCTACTAAGAGGGAAAGCGGTGAAACAGAAGGAGATCTAACTCTCTTTTATTTCTTTCACACACACACAAAACAAGACAAGACGATACACACAAAGACGTCTCAACAATCGTGACACACACACGAAAGGGGAAGAGGACCACCTAGCTCTGACGAGTTTCATCCTTTTATAGCTTCGAGGAATGAGCCAGGGGTGCCGTCTCTTGGCTACAGAAAGGAGGGGTGTCCTGTTCTTGGAAGTTGACAAGCATCCCTTCTGACCTTCGAGAGGATACCATGCTCTCTCGCAGGGAAGAGAACCCCGTCCTTGCATGGCAGCAAGCTGCTTCCAACGGGTCGTACTGCACAAGACGCACCCCTTCTGTTTACCTTGTAAGTCCCCCACGGGTACACGGTTGCTGCAACAAAGGCCTCCACAGGGGTCCTTTCAGCAGCTAAAAGATTCTTCACCATGATGCTGGGTCATCCAGGAGAAGTCAGCTTCGAACACGAGTACGAGACAGCTGTCCTGGTAGTAGCGGCTCACAGAACACAAAGCACGCAAAGGACAGGAGGAACTTCGGGAGGATGTCACAGTAGACCGTATAACACTCTGAGATACACTTTTCAAAAGAAGGAGATGCAAACAAATAGAATGATGTTGCATGCAAATCGAAACAGAGGTGCCAGGATCCTAAATGAATCATGTTGGCAACAAGGTTTGAATTTTCACCAAAGATAATTGAAACTCTACTGATCACAATAGGGATGACAATGAGGATGTGTAAACAATCACATCTGCTAAGCGTTGCTATTTGTTGCCAAGCAGAAACGCACTTGTGAACAACCTGGCATAGATCACCGTGATCTTCATGATAGCGGATTCAACAACCAGGAGTTAAAAGAACCCGTAAGCCCAGGGTGCTATTTGTCCATCGAACTTCAATCGAACTCTGAAGTTGAGATAGGAAGGAACTTTGAATCTTCAAGATCAGGGGTTTATGTAAACTGGAAGGTGGCACATCTTGAAAGTCAATGTTTTCATTGGAGGACATATTATCTCCATTTCTTCTAGTCTCGATGCCTCTCAACGCAGCTGATTGTGGGCTTATGCGTGTTGCAACCCCAGGAAACAATCATCGTTGGCGCGACATGCGTGCCCGACCCATTGCGTCTGATTATAAAATGTAACCAATCTGATTTCACACATCCAAAATATTTGCTAACACTTTGAAATTTGAAGGGAATGTTTGTTTGTTTGTCCGTACTGTTCGTTTGTTTGTTTGTCCGTACTGTTCGTTTGTTTGTTTGTCCGTACTGTTCGTTTGTTTGTTTGTCCGTACTGTTCGTTTGTTTGTTTGTCCGTACTGTTCGTTTGTTTGTTTGTCCGTACTGTTCGTTCGTTCGTTTGTCCGTACTGTTCGTTCGTTCGTTTGTCCGTACTGTTTGTTTGTTCGTTTGTCCGTACTGTTCGTTTGTTCGTTTGTCCGTACTGTTCGTTTGTTCGTTTGTCCGTTCTGATTGTTTGTTCGTTTGTCCGTACTGTTTGTTTGTTTGTTTGTCTGTACATGACAACATGGCGGTCATGGAGATCTACTGGTACACTCGTTGTGTAAGTAAGTGCGCTGGTCTGACTGTATGGTCTGAGCACTGCAGCTTGCGCATGCACATCAAGAGCATGGACGCTGAGTGGAAGCACAACTATGGGTAAACGGGTCAGTACAGAGATAAGATCAGAGATGTCATCGAAGAATGCAAGCTCGACGCTGAAGTAAAATTGTTGTTGTTGGTATTGTTGTTGTTGTTGTTGTTGTTGTAT